ATTATATTTTATAATAAGAAGCGAGTCTATACTTATTTCCTCCACATGCACTATTTTGCTGCGTAAATAAAGTACTATTACTAATAATAATTACTGAAATGCTATGTTGCAGTTATCAGGGCCGATAAGATCACTGGTGTGTATTCACAGCAAGGTGGGTGTAAAATCGTTCTTGTCTGGAAGTCCTCTCGTTAGTTGTGGTGTGTAAGTTTGGAGAAGCTCAACCAGATAAGGCTCTGTGCTTTAAGTTTGACTGAAGTCAAAATTATGTATCATTCTCCCCTTGGCTGTTAAGTAGCAGAGTCCTGAAAATAGGGCTACGAACTAGGATTGGTGTGTAGATATCCCGCTAGAATCCCGATAATAATTAAAAAGAAGTTTAAATCGAAATGATCCTGAATATGAAAGCAAATGGTGGCCACTTTCATACATTGCTAGTGCAAATAAGCCTTAATTATATGCTAGTAGGCTGACCATGCTTGTTGCTTTTTTTTTCTTAATAATAACTAACTGTAACTGCAAATTTAGTTTCACTTTTGTTTACATCGTTCCATTTTACGAGTAGACTAGAGCAGACAAAGTTTCTGATCTGATGTTTTAAGAAATAACTTACCTATGATTATAATTTTAAAACTTATTTCCCGGAGTAAATATTCATTAATTACGCATAATAGTCTACGTTTAAATTTGTTTTCAATTTCTTCTCATTTTTTTGATCATATAGAATTTAAATTATCATGACCTAATCTTTCTTATTTATACTTCCGTGATGACATCTTTATTTAAACTTCTCAAAGTTAATTAAGATTTTGACCTTCAATTTTCCAACGATTCTAATTATATTCATTGCCTTTTTCAAAGTTTTTAATTTTATTCGCATTAAAATGATTATTCGAGAACTTTTTAACCGAATTTGCCATTGGGGGCCTATGATTGCTATGATAATAATAAACTGTATTACGTTTTCAACGCTTCAAGTAACTGCTATGTGGCTTCCCTTCTTTTCTTCTTTAAATGCTGCAGCGTGTCATAGTTTATTTTTATTTCTTGTTGGTAGCACTTTGTACAATTTTTTCTGTGCCATGTTCATTGGTCCTGGCTACGTTCCTTTCGGTTGGACCCCAGTAAGTGTACTTTATTTGCTAGTTACTTACATTTTATTTTTGTTAGACAGGGGTAAGAATTAGGAAAATGTAATCACCTTTCCATCCTAATTATCATTAATCCATTCTCCAAAGTTCTACAGTTGATTTGATCCTCAATTTTTAAAATTATCCTTTTATGCTATTTAATGTGGTGATATCTCCATATCGCGATCTGTTGCGCCAACTACAATCGGCAAAGGGCCAAGTAGATTTTAAACTTTCAAACGTTTTTTTAAAAAAAACTTGTGGATATTTGCTCGTGGGTGGTTATACCTTTCGAGTTGCTCCCATTCTGTGATGTTTTTTTTTTTAGTTTCTCACTGGCCACTGCCCGGATGTAGCTAAGACTTGATGATTATTCTGCCGCAGATCACTATACGGAAATCTTCCCTTTGATGTGTATACTTCACTAAGTAATTCTCATTCAGTATCAAAATAACCAAAAAATTTGAAACTTCTAAAGAATAATTGAAGGCAAGCTAAAAGACAATCTTTGTGTTTGAAATTTTTTTTTAAGAAAAATGAACTGAAAAAAAGTAGCATTTTGAAAGTTTTTTTATATTTTAAACTGAAAATAATTATTTAAAGGTGCATTTTTAAATAAAAGGTATTTGTTAAAAAAAAAAAAAAAGAATGGTAAAATTTAAAATTGCTAAAAAGAACTCAATATACCCCCAAATAAAAGATTTGAATATCTCTGAGGGCCGAATATCATTTAAATTTTAACTATATTACTGGACAACAGAAGATAACTAAAATTGAGGAATGAAATTGAAAATTAAATAATTATCAGTAACTAAATAAATCAGAAGTGGATTTTTCAATGAAACAGATGGTTAAGAAAGCAACCTTTTCCAGAAAAAATGAAATAAAAAGGCAGTGTTTTTAAAGGATGGCAGCTTATTTTTACAAAAAGAGCAAGGAAGGCACATTTATAAGATCAAAGGGCAGGTGGGGTAGGCCGCCATTCTAAAAACGCTTAAGGAGAACACTGTATTCTCATGTCTCTTTGATTAAAAAAATTAAGAAACAAAATAGGGATATATACGTATGGCAGACTTGGGCAAAAGTGTAATCGATTACTTTTTTTTATTACTGTAATCAGTTACTTGTAACCATGATTGCAACATATTATAATTTTTAATTACAGTTGTAATCGAGATTACAACAATCAAATACCCGTCATCATAATTACAAAATTGGGATTTCGATTGTCAATTACAATAATCATTTATTTGTAATTTTGATTGCAATGCAATCTAATTTTGATTGCTGTTGTAATGGTGATTTATATAATTAATCACCTGTAATCGTGATTCCAAATTATTTTGACTCCTTTATGATACTGCAACCTTTATTTTTGAAATTTCATATCTATCATTAGTATGTATTTAATTTATAAGAATTAGATGCATATTGTTTGTTTTTGTCATATCTTAGTGTGCGTAATTTTTATTTGTTTAAATATAGGCAGATACTAATGAGTGTAACTACCTCCAGTTTTGCTCTTTATGCAAAGGATACAAAGCACCGAGAGCTCATCATTGTCGTAAATGTAAAAGGTTAGAAATTGGTCTTCTTTTATTTCAAAGTTTGTTAGTTTTAATTTGTCCTTGATAGTTTTATGAAATTATTTCTCCCACTTAAATGGTCTAATTTTAACCAAAATCCTTTTGTTATGTAGTGATTATAATTTTTTGTTTTAAATTTTATACTATATAATAATTTTTCTTACAAAAATTTAGCTAAAAATTACAATTCTGAAGAATACTCTCTTTTTATATTAGTCAAATTTAATCTTCCTGAGAAAAGCTACCTATTTAATTAAATCGGAGAATACACATATTTGAAGGAAGTATATTTTTCTGCAAGGAATTTCCCATTTATTTTAAATAATAGTTTACTGTCTTACTAATTTTGAAGAAATGCACAAAGCCTTCATTTGATATTTATTCCAAGTGTAAATGTGATTGTCTAGTATAAATTTGACCTGGATTCACTACTTTGTTTTTTTTTTTTGTTATTATTTGTTGTTGTTGTGTTTTAAGGTCAAGGAATAGTCCTGTTCTTTTTCTTTCCAATCTATCTACTATGTTCTGTTAATTTAGAAATGTTCAGGTTAATTTTGAAGTGTTGCACAACATTTTAGTGCATCTGGTTATCATTTTTGATGGCATTTTCATTTAAATAGCACTCAAGAATGGGTATTGGCTGTACAGAATATGAGAAGTATATGTGTTGTGTGTGAAAAAATTGAATCTGTGAAGTTAATTTCATATATTATTTCTGTGTGTCTACTGAAATGTTGATAAATTTAATAAAAGAACGCACTAAATCTCAAAGCTATTTGGTTAATAAGAAGTACTATACAAGTTTCATATATGAGTAACTCCAATCTAGACTTAGATAAAATTAAAAACTTTATACACACATAAAATCTGGCTTAAAAATATTTCTGCAAACAATTGATTAACTCTTCTAACTAGTTTCAATCCTTTTCTGGCCACCTGATTTTGGTGAAATTAGTTTGAAAAATCATGGATTTTTTTTAAAAAAATGTTTTAATTTTTGTGAAACTCTATATTGATTCATGCCATAGAGATGAGTTTGGACGAAAACCAAAAAAAGTTGAAAATAGAAATTCAAAAATATTATGTACGAAAACACTTTTTAAGTAATTGGAAAAATACCTGAAATTTGATCAGGAAAAAAGTATGTAGGAGGGATTAACAGCAGAATGTTATCAATGTTTTAATAAAATTATTGATGTGAGATTTTAATTATGTATTTAAATTATGTGAGTGTGAATCTCCATGTGTAATTTTTTTAATCACACATATTTGATTCTTAATGTTTGATTTTAAAATTACATTATTATGAATCTCTAATTGTTACTTTAAAATTGTGTGTATACAAAATCCGTTGGATAATTTTTAAGTCACTCAAACACAAATCATAATAGTGGCTTTTAAATCGCGAAACTGCAAAAGGCAATTGATATAAAATCATGAAAATACAAACATTATGTGTGATCTTAAATCGTGTAAATAGGAATCTTGCTTTATGATTTTAAATCATATAAATACCTACTAGGATATGTGATTTTCTATCATGTGACTGTATTGTGAAATTATTATTTTATTAAAAGTATAAATTATGATTTAACATATTATTGCTTCACTTTCATTAAGCTTCTAATATGCAATTTCATAAATATTCGCAGAAAAGTTATAAAGTTCATAAAAAATCTCACGATTGACATGGGGTTAAAATTAGAAAAACTAATATTGAATAAAAGAAAATAACTAAGAAAAATGATATGATGCATTTAAAATTCGTTGCAATGAAATATTGCATGCTTACAATATCTTTAACACATTGAAATCTTAATAAATATAATCTTATAGCACGCTTTTAAAAAATAAAATTTTTTCTATCTTTTATTTAACCTCTCTTCATAAAGCAACCTTTTTTATTACACAAATCCGTCCTTTTTATGTACTTATTTATTGTATCAACTCATTTATTTATAAAGATTAAGTGGATATTTCATTTTTTTGTGTGTTGTTGTTCATGAAAAAAAAGTTTAATGTATTTTTTTACAAATAAAACAGTCTGAAACCCATTTTTTAAGTTTTAAATAACGTTATTCTGTCTTCAAGGTGTGTGATGAAAATGGATCATCATTGTCCGTGGATCAACAATTGCTGCGGTCATCGCAATCATAAAACATTCACATTATTCCTCATTTCTGCAGTCTGTGGCTGTGTTTTGTCATCAGTTCTTCTTTTTCTTGGTTTATATCGTGCTTTTCAGGTGGTAAGTTATGATTTTTAAATTTTCATTTGAAAAAATTTTAATTTTACCATTATTATAAAAAATAATCTCTCACCAGGGATGAGATTCTTCCGCGGATTCGCGGATTTCCGCTTTTTTGCAGATTTTTCCCGCTAATTTCCGCTGAAATTTATTTTTTGCCCAAGTTAAAATGTTTTATGAGGAATTTAATTTTCCGCGGAGGGAAATTGTTGAAGTCCCTTTTCCTCCCTCTGAAGTTTCTCTAAAAATCATTTCCTTGGGATAAAACTGGTTGACCTTTATACAGGGATGAGATTTTTTTTGTCTCTCGAATTTCAGCCTTTTTATCAAAAACTCCGATTCTCTAAAAGTTTCGTTTTTTTAAATAAATATCCCGTTTTTTTTAAATTCAGTCATTGAAGTAAAATAATTATATTTATTTACGATTTTCAAAGATAAACAGAAAATTCAATCTACGCCCTAGCTGCTAACCCTTCCGCATTTTTACTTATTTTAGCTATTTTCTCCGATTTCACGCACAGAAAATAAGATTTTCCGTATTTTTTATCCGTCGGCTG